ACAGAACTCACCTGCCAGTGCCACTGCTGACTCATGACTCTAGAAGGAAAAGAAAAGGAATGGTTGGGGGGGGGGGGCAGCAAAGATGGTGGATAGATAATAACTGGCTACAGAGGCCCCCTGAGATAGTCAACTTAGAATTCAACATAATACAGAGTGGTATACAGAGGAAGATGAATTCTCTCGTACCAAGAAGAAATTAAGGAGACTTGCTGAGCCATCTGTGGTCCCGCCACTTCAACTCACTGGAGGTGCAGTTACAATGAGTTCGGGGGTCAGTGAGCCAAACGGAGTGGCGGAGTTGGCAGGGTGCCTACATCGACCTGTGGTGAATCACAAGAGTGAAGCCATTCCATAAATAGGGGGACTCTGGCAGACGACATTCTGGGGCCAGGCAGGACTGGTAAGTACAAGGGGCAGCAGTGACATCAGTCAGTTGTTCCCTTTCCAAACGGGATTGGTGGAGTGAGCTAGGCCTGAGTCATGTGACCTGACTGAGACCCAATAGGTTATCCCAGGTCAAGTCCCTGCAGCCATGGTATACACTAACTACACTGGCCCAGTGGTGCCTCAGAGGTTTGGCTGGTTCAGAGGGGAGGTGGCACAAAGTAATACAGTGGCGCAGGCCACAGCAGCTTGACTGATCCGGAGGGGAGGGGCCAGCATATTCCATCCCTGTCTGCAACTCACTAGCACACTACAGTGTGAAAGGTCATCTGGCCAACGCACTTCAGAAGAATTGTAACCAACAAAGAAAGAAACTGGGGCCTCCTGGAAGAAGCAAAAAAGATGAGAAGAGGAAGCAACAACAAGAAGTCCCCAGGCCCCAACCCTGAGAACACTGACCCAGGACAGGTAAATAAAAAGGAGTATGAGAACAGCAAACATGCAATATCAGACACAGCACCGGTGGACATAAAGATATATTTTTGGGACCTCATAGACAAGTTCAAAAGTGAAATGTTTAGCCAAATAAAGCAAAATATAAGAAGATTAATAAAAGATACTAAGCACCCTTCAAGCAGACATAGACAGAAGAAGGGAGGGACTCAAACAAAGGAGAGAACCATTTGATGAAGAATATAAAAAAATATAGAATACATGAAGTAGATTCAAAGAGATCACCAGGAAATTAAAAACTTTATGGATAGATGGCAAATCAGTTTGAAAGAAACTAAGGATAGATTATCCAAAATGGAGGACAGTTTTGCAATGTGGGAGTATGAAAGGGAAAACTTAAAAAATAACAAGGAAACAAGCAGTAAGACTACAAAGGCTAGAGGATGATAAAAGGATCTATAACTTAAGAATAAAGAATGTAAATGAAGAAGCTGGGATACAAACAAAGGAACTACAAAGGTTATTCACAGAAATGATTATGGAAAAATTCCCAAACATAGGAAAAGGAAATGATATTCTGATGTATGATGCTACAGAACTCCAGCCACCTACAACCAAAACAGAGCTACACCCAGGCACATAATAATCAAGATCCCAGAAATTCAATATACGAACAGAATATTAAAAGCTGTTAGAGACAAGAAACAGATAACCTACAGAGGAAGACCCATTAGAATAACGGCAGACTTCTTGACACAACCCATCAAGTCAACAAGAGCCTGGAGTAAAATATTCCAAGCCCTCAAAGAAAATAACCTCCAGCCCAGATTGACATACCCTGATAAACTGTCTCTATAAATTAATGGAGAAATAAGATGCTTCCAAGACAAAGAGGAACTTGGGAAATTTGCAACCACCAATCCAGCTCTACAGAGAATACTGCAGGGCATTCTAGAGAGAAAGTACTAGGATTCCAGGAACAGTGACAGAGAGGCCTCAATGAATGGAGCAGAAAACAGAATGAAAAGATAAGCAGACAACTGATGGAAAAAAAAAAAAGGCATAACAGAAATGAAGCAGAGAAGATTTTATTCAAAACTGGTATGATTGATAGTATCTAGTCTGAGAGTATAGGCAACTACACTGAAGATGACAAGACACTACGATACACATTCTGGTTTGATAACTGCTGGTTTTTGAAGTTCTATACTATATACAAACTTGTGTTTTTATTAATACTGTTATGTACTGATATATTCAATTATATTATGGCTGATGATATAGCCAATTCTATTGGCGATAAGAGATAACACAGGAACCAAACGACAACGGTCTTATATTTTTATCTCGTTTCGTATGTTTATAGGAATGTTGTTTTGCCTTGCTTTGTTTTGTTTCTCCCTCTAATATAGAAAGGATAGAAATACATGTTAAGACTCATGCATGCGTAGAGTCTATAAACAGTTTATGAGAACTGATCTTAATCACGCATGATGAAATGAACAGATACTTTAAAGAAAAAGAGACACTAAAATATCCAGTGCTGATCCTGGAATGTCATAATGTGAAATCCAGCAATAGTACTATTCTTTGTTCAGAGTGATATTAGCCTGCTTGGGTCTATTCAATCTCAACATAATTGAAGATACGGATAACTGCATGTATATTTAAGTGTATAGGATTGATAACCATATTTCTAAGTTTTTGTTGGATCGTTGAACAGAACTTGTTGCACCCTCTGTTTGAATCCCCACTTTATATGTTCCACTTTAGTATCTTGAATAACTATTATAAGAAGACAATCTGTAATCATCAACTAATGATTTCTTACTGTTTTTTTTCTTTGAAATTATGTATTATTTCTACCCGTTCTGTTTTGTTTAGTCTTTCTTTACATTTTTTTAAAAAGTCACTACAGTACCCAGTGCTGATCATGGATAGTATTGCTGGATGTGAAATCCAGCAATAGTATCATTCTTTGTTCAGAATGATTTTAACCTGCTTTAGTTTGTTTAAACATAAATGAAGATATGGATAACTGCATGTATGTTTAAGTGTATAGGTTTGACAACCATGTTACTAAGTTTTTGTTGGACAGTTGAACAGAACTGTTTGCAGTCTTGCTGTTTAAATTCCTACTTTACATGTTGCATTTTTGTATCTTGACCAACTATTTGAAAAATGACAATAGGTAAACATCAACTAGTGATTTCTTACTGTTTATTTTTCTCTCTGAATGTATGTATTATTTCTACTTATTTTCTGTTTTGTTTAGTCTTTCTTTAAATTTTTTAAAAAGGAATGGTGAATAGAGTTCTGGTATGTCTCTTTGCCTTACACCTCAGGGTTCCAAAAAATACACTAATGTACAAATCCACAGTGCCCCTGCTAATCATATATACATATACACATATTTTTCAAAATATGAAAGCCAGAAACAGTACTAGAAAAATGAAACTGGGAGTTGAGGTCATACAGACCAGACTGAATCTTCAGAGGTTAAACCAATTCCTATTTTTAAGAATTTAATGGGCTAGGCATTTAGCTCAATGGCATAAGTGTCAATCTGGCAAGTTCGAGGTCACAAGTTTGATTCCCTGTACTGCAAAGAAAAAAAGAATTTAAAGAAAAATGGAGAAAGATGTATATACAAACATGTTGTACTTAGTGTCTCAAGGATCAACAGCCTGGGTTACACAGTAAGACTCTGACTCAAAAATAAATAAACAAACAAACAAACATATGCAAGTTTAACATCCCTAATCTGGAAATGTAAAGTCTAGAATGATTCAAAATTGTCATGTCAGCATTAAAAAAAGTTTCAAACTCTGGCAGGCTTCAGAATTAGAGATATTTAACTGGCAAAGACTATACAAATATTCCAGAACCCAAAGCACTCCAGAATCTGCTATCACTTCAACTTATATATAATCTAAACTGCAACATATGACTGGTTAAAAAAAAAAAAAGCAATAGTTTATTTCATGATGAAAAGTAAAGTACCGCTACACAACGAGGCTAGGCCAAGGTGTAGAGTTAAAACACACCCCACGCCCTCTGCCTCTCCTGCCCTCTCCTGCTCCAACACATTCCTTACTACCTCGGAGGATTAACTTCCTGCTCGTGCCCAGCCCACTGTGGGCTAAGACAGCTGTGTGCCACAGGAAGGTTCATCACCACTTTTCTCTCTACAGATGCTTCCATATCTCCATGCAAGAAATGCCACTGCAGTCTCTTGCTAGCAATGAGAGGCTTCTGTGCCTACTGCACCTGCCAAGCTGATCACAAGTCTGACACGATCTCAAAGTGCAGGAGACACACGATCCAACAACAGCCCCGAAAGCACACAGCCATCATGCATGATAACCACGTGGCAATTAAAAATATTAACATGGAGATCTATTTTTTAACGTTAGTAAACTCTGAACAATGTACCAAGTGCAAAAATAAGTACATACCCATTACAAAGAGCTACAGGTGTGTGTTACATATGTATTTTTAAAAACACCAGCAAGATATACAGTAAAAGTTCAATGATGTTTTCTCTGAACAGTAGGATTAAGAGCTTTTAAAAAAACCTTGCTTCATATTATTTGGCTGCTATCCTTCTTTGTGTTTTTATTTAAAAAATGTTTTTGATGCTGAAAGCAAGCCATACTATTTTTGAAAAAAAGACAGTTACTAATTGTCTAAATTAATCTCACTGCATTAGCTGAGGAATCAGATCTGGGTCTCAATCACTTAGTCCTAAATTGCAGGCCTGAGCCGCTGGTGTGGAGGAGCTCTATGCTCCTACAGCTTCAGGGAGCCCACGGGCCCAGCATTCTGCCCTATGTGACCACTGTGGCACGAGGGCCTCTCACTCTGCCACAGCCCTCAGAACCCGTGGCCTCACATGCAGACACAATAAGCACAAGGAGGCCAGGCAGGTGGAGGTGGCCTGGACTTAGGTCAGAACGATGGACAGAGACACAGTGTGTCTGGTCTTCTCATCTGTGAGACAGAAATGGGGAAATAACGCCTTGCAGAGCACTGCCAAGATGGAATGAGATGACCCGGGTAAAGCACCCAGCACACAGAAGATGCCAGAGAAATGGCTGGCCGATACCATTGCCCCATGTCCAGATCAAACCAAAGAAAACCTAAGGTAAGCAGCACAGTGACAAGCAAGGAATATTTTATTGTATGCATATTTCCCCAAAACCCCCACAAAAATGCACTACAAATAGGAGGAGAGAACGAAGTTTTACTAGCCTCTCTGGGATACACAGGGCATCGTATCTCATAGAAACATAGCTAGTGTAAAAACAATGTGTACTTACTAGTTAACGTCACCTTTGCTTCTGAGTCAAAAAAGGCTGTAGAGAAAAACACTTTATTTGTACTTTACTACAAATGTGCTGTACAGTTACAGTTCAGCTTACTTAAAGAGTTACTGGATAGCAAACTACAGAAAATAGAGGAGGCATTCAATAATCTGCTCACAATTAACAATTAAGCAATAGATACTTGAATACATACAGCATGTATTACTTATTTGTTAAACCTCACTTTGACAATGAGCAGATGATTTATCACTAATTGTAACTGGTTTCTTACTTTTAAAAAGACACCAAATTCAATAATGGAAGTAAAAAATATTTTAAAGAAAACTGCCTTTAGAAAATATGGGTCTCCTTGGGTCTTGTGCTGCTACGGCGCACACTGCATATCTGGGTCAGAGTCAACAGTTTAAAAAAGACAGCTACTAATAAACTGAATAGCTGAGAGAAGACAACCAGGTAGTATGTTCTAAAGCAAGACACTGTTTTCTGTTTATATCCTCCGGGAAGCAAGACAGAACTAGAGAGAGTAAACGGAGGTTTACAATACAGTATAATGAATAATAATTTGCTTGTGTTTAATGCTATTGGGGTATTGCTATCACTTGGAGTAATAAAGGACAATTTTAAAAACATGTTGATAGTGAAGATCTGGCATGTCCTTATTCCATATTCCATACACACAAGAGCTAAATAAAAGGATCTTCTCTAATACTCTGTACTTCTTAATCCATATGCACACAAATTACCTCACAGATTCAGGAAAGAACAGGAAACTTACTTGAACTATCTTACATGACCTGTTCATGAGAAACAATCAAAAATAAGGCAATAACTATGAGTTTATCTGTACGTTCCTTGTGTGTCTCATCCGTATAATTGAGAAAATAATTTTTGCCCACTTCTATAAAAAATACTACACCACTTTCTGGCAAATGTGTGATAGAAACAAGATAAGCCTGACAGGTACATTTCCAAAAAAAAAAGTCTATGATAGGCTTAGGTGGAGAGCAATCTATTTGGAAATATTCTCCTTCCTTCTCTAATTTTTTCTTAGGTATAAATGTCCTCCTTGACTTACATTAACTTCGTAAAGGGCCTGAAATGACTTTTACATTCTCCATGGAAGGTAGTTTTTTCATTAAGAACACTTTCAGATAAAAATATGTGAAAGGTATGCACTATTCTTAGCAGCTGTGATATTCTGTTCAACTTACCACAGACACTAAAGTCACATTTCACAGAAGTTAAAGGAAAACAAATCCACAACTCAGCACTCTTCTGCAGGGCAAGGACGGATCCTATTCTGTATTCCCTTCAGGACTTAAAATCCTAGGATAGCACCTTTGAATGGACCAAACCATTAACTGAATGAAAATTAATACACGAAATTGAACATTCAACATCATGGCTTAAAAGCTACCATCATTCAATTTTGCTTCCAAATTATTTTGAGTTAACATATATTTTGTGAAGAGTTATTAAAAGAAACAATTTTCCAAGGTGATGTAACACAAAAAAGGAGAAATAAAATTCCTCTGGCTTCATTCTGAAAACAGTTTTTGTCAATCATTCCAGAATATGGTGTGCCTTGCTGGCTTTATTACTGGTGTCACATGACATCTCAGATGAACTAACTGCCAGAAACTTTTCTATCCCTGTAAGCCCTGGTTACAAACCAGATTTAGTCCTTTTAGTTTGATCATACAGAATAACCATGTTGTCTTAGTATATCTCCAACACAGTGACACAGTGTTTTTTAAAAATCAATATCCATTAGTAAGACATTAGAAAGATACAGTTCCTATTTTCATATTTAATCCTTTTTTAAAAAGTAGATCCTTAGACACTCGCTTCCGCAGCCCAAAGAACTGATATAGGGGCCACTGTTCAAGCAAACAAACTCAGACATAAATATTTTATATTAAAAGACAGGCTCTCCATTCCTTAACCTCTGCTTCACCCTACCACTCTGGTTCAAAGCTTGAAAACAACTTCTGCCAGTCGTGATGGATGTGATGAAAGGAATTACTGTACAAGACCTGATTCATGATTACATCTCTGGCCACCAGGTTTCTCCAAAGAAATGTGAAGAATGCCCGTTCCAACTAAAAATCAGCATCATTTAAAAGCTTTGGAGGACTTCTCTGAGGACATTAAACTGCCACACATCTCAGGAGCTCATCTTGGGATTAGGGACAGAATGTGTCTGTCAGGAAGGCCGCATGTTTGTGGGACAGACTGACCGCGTCCCTGCCCCCGCAGGCTGGCAGCAGGCTTCACTGTGAGTTGTCCCTGGCTGCAGTGAGAGCGTGCCAGGGACCTGCGTGACTCGTGTGTTAACAGCACCATAGTAAAGCGTCCTGGGAGAGGGATGTGGACTGACCTGGGTGATACATTAGTTTCACAACTGACATCACAAGAGCAAAGGTTTGCTTGTTGCATATGGAAAGGTTTTCCAGAAAGTGAAGCAACTGAAATGGACCGAATGCTACGTGCAGACAATGGCATGACCTAGACAGGGCACAGTGAGGCGCAGGCCACATCTGCACGCTGCTGGCAGGGAGGGCGACTCTCCTTCCTCACTTCCTCCAGCTCTGGGCTCTTGGCAGACTGTTGGTCTGAGCAGACATGTGTTTGTGTTCGGGACAACATTGGGAGAGTTCTCAGCTTTCACTTTTGGTTCAATTTTTTCCTCTAAACTCGCACAGCAGGATGGCTCTTTCCTCACCCACGTGCTCGCTGCTCACAGGGAGGTCTCCTTGAAGTCAGGGAACCGCCACAGACCTTTTCCGTATTTGTTCCCAAAGGTGAGTTCCTTTCCAATGTTTTCTTCAGAAAAAATGTTTTTAAGTGGCTATTGTCCCTTCACATTACAGTGGCCGCAGGCTACATGGGAAGGGTTTCATGGGTTGGAGGCCACTGTTTGTAAGGAGGAGACCTCACTGGATCCTGGATCAGTGCAGAGAAAATCCAGTCGCCAGGCTGCAGCCCACCACCGGCGTCATGTCCCAAATCTACAGGGGAGATGGACACAGAGAAGGCAGCGGTGACCATGGAGCCAGATGTCAGGGTCAACACTGACAGACTGACTGCCAACCTTGGAAACCTGTCAAACCACCAGTCTCTCACTGTCTCCTTCCACCACACACCCTCCCAGCGACCGACCCTCCAACAGAACAGCCCAGTTCCCCAACACCGCAGGGCGCTGTGCCTGAAGATAGCATCACAGTACTGTTCTACTATCCACTGATTTTTTTTAAAAAAAAAAAAGCCCACTAGGAATATATTTCAGTTCCCGTCCCAAGAGGGGCATTAAGTATACAATATTCCCTTTCAATCTGTGTTGGTGGTTCAGAGATTTCAAGAAAAAAGTGTGGTTATTCCTCAGTGAGGATGCTGCCTGTCCAGGGTTGTACAAAAGGCCTAGAGTCAGCCGTCAGGAAAGCTCCAGGCCAGCAGGTAGCAGGAAATCCAACTCAGCACCCACAGGATCTCAGGGGTGCCAGGCCCTTGTCAGCTCACTTTGAAGATCCCCAGGGCAGAGGGCAGCACTGCTGAGACTCCTGCCACTCAGAGTGGAAATTCACAGGCGTGCAGCTGGTCACTCCGGTTTCCAGCTGGCAATGCGCGACACAGGAAGGGAAGGCGAGCCTGCCAGCCAGAAGCACCTAAGTCCACTCAGCACGGCCATGGGGCAACCTCACCTGCAGCGCCAAGCAGGCAGCAGCCAGCTCACCTTCACTATGCGGTCGGTCCCACACGTCACCATCAGGCCCCTGGCAATGTCCATGGACATATGCGAGATGTTGTGCTTTCCTTCATGAAATGTTGCTAGAGAAGTCCGACTAACAAACAGAGAAGAGATCACTGATACTCACCTCGCTGTACCTTAAGCTAAGAGAAGTTTTTTTTTTTTTTTTTCTTTAAGCAATATAAATCCTTTGGACAATAGTGTTAAAAATAGGTTTCAAAAATGTATAGCCAGGGCATGGTTGCACATGCCTGTAATTCTAGCACTTGGGACACTGTGAGTTTGAGGCCAGCAGTCTATACTACACAGGGAGATCCTGTCACAAAAAAACTAAAACCAACACAAAAAAAGTAGCTATAATTTTTGAAAAGATAAAAGCAAGGTTTTAATCACTCAATATAAATTTGGGGGGGTACCAGGGATCGGATTCATAACCCTGTGCTTGCCAAGCAGGCACTTACACCACTGAGCTAAATCCCCAGTGTCCCCCCCAACCATTTTATGTTACTGGGGTTTGAATCTAAGCTCCTGAATTACATCTGTTTTTATTTTATTCTTTTCTTTTTTGATACAGGTACTGGGGAATCGAACTCATAACTTTGCACTTGCCAGGCAGATGCTTAGGCCCCTGAGCTAAATCCCCGGCCCCTATTTTATTCTCTCTTTATTTTTTGAGACAGGGTCTTGCTAAGTCACTATGTGGCCCAGGCTGGGTTCACAATGACATTCCTTCTGTCTCAGCCTCCCAGAGTGTGGGATGACAGGCATGTACTACCAATTCTGGCTGATTTGTATCTTTTTTTTTTTTTTTTTAATTAGAAAAGCTTACATTTGAAAACACAAGGTTCAGCTGGGCATCGTGGCATGCACCTGTAATTTCAGCACTTGGGAAGCTGAGGCAGGAGGATCAGCGTGAGTTCAAAGCCAGACTGGGCTACATGGTGAGACCCTGTTTCCAAAAAAAACCCACGAAGCTTTGCCTAGTGTCATGTGACTCATGCCTCATCTCACCACTAGGGAGAGTGTGGTGACCCATGGCAGCTGATGGAACGTTCCTGAGCCTCCACAGCTCATGTCTCATCTTACCACTTGGGAGGCTGAGGCCGGAAGGTCACTGCAAGTTCAATGCCAGTATGAAGAACATAGCAAGATCCTGTCTCAATAAAACCTACACAGAATGAGCTCCTACAGCATAGGGAAAACATGCACCAGAAATCTACAGGACCCCTGAAGTCTCTGTTACCCACAGCACCAAAGCAGCAGCCTCTTCCAGAACGGGCACTAACACCACTCTGAGAGCAGAGTCCTCCCTCCCATTACAGCTCATTAACCAACGCCAGTGGTGACACACTGGCTCCCCACGCAGGCCTCTGTCAGCTGTGACCATATGATGATTCATCAGAGTGGTATGGTGGTCCAGTCCTAACGGATTGGCCTGGGGCAGAATCAGACATGTAGGCAGATGTACCTCAGACATAAAGCACTGTGTAAGAGAGTTCCAGCTCAGACACGTGCAGTAGAGCGAGCATTGGTCTTTACAGGGCTCTCTCTGGAGTTACATTTGATGCATGGACACACACATGTCGGGGTGTGGACTGGTCCTTGCCTGGAACCCCGTGTGCTGTGGAGGCTCAGGAACATCCCAGCAGCTGCCATGGGTCACTGCACTCTCCCTAGTGGTCAGGAAAAGTCTGTCCCAGCTGGAAGGGCAGTTTGAGAACAGCAGTGTTCTAAGTCACAAATTCAGGGCAAGATCTTCTCTACAGACATGTTTTACAAAATTCAGAAGGGACAAACACATGGAAGAAATGTACCTGTACCATTTTTTGGGCTGTCTCTATCTGAGGAACCCTTTTTAAAATTAATTTATGGGGCTGGGAATATAGCTCAGGGGACATTGACTGCCAGGCAAATGCAAGATCATGAGTTTCCTAGTGCCAAAAAAATATTAATTTATGATTTATTTTTAAGAAACTTGTTAGAAAGAAGGAGTAGGATGCAGAGATGAGACACGCCAGCACTCACTCTTCGTCCCTGATGGAGTCGTAGCAGGAGTCACACACGCGCACCTGGAACTCGAAGCCCATGACCGGGTAGCTGGAGCGCTTGCTGCTGCACTTTCCACACACAGCCTGCCCGCACTTCCGGCAATGGTGCTTCCGGCCGACCAAGGGGGAAAACAGGGTTTAGCCTTTGCTTTAATGCACATGGCCTGCCTTTAAAGTCGGGGAACAGGAGCGGGGACGATATGCCTTGAATTACAATCACCCCAACTCAAGGCATTGTTAACACTCAAGTAGTTTCAACACTAATCTTGCTTTACTGGTCAAATACTGTTTTTTATGCTTCCATTTTATTGGGCTATATATTAACAAGATTAAGACCAAGTTCAAATTCATTTTGGAACCTAATTGCTACAAATTTCAGGAAGGAAAATCTCCTCCAAACAAAAGTTTTAAAACAAGCTATACATGTAACATGCCTTCACTAAGAGAACAGTGTTATGGTTGTTATATAGATGTTCCCCACAGCCTAGTGGATGGGGCTTTTGGGAGCAGCTGGATCCTGTGTGTGATACTGGGTAGGGCTGGGTGTGGGTAATGGCTCTAGAAGATCCACCCTGTGTGTGGTTAGCACCAACCAGTAGCGTTGCAGCCAGAAATAAAAAGGCAAAGAAGGAAAATTTTTTTCCTCCTTTAACTTGGAGGTTTTGGGTATTTTGTTCCAGCAATGAGAAAATCATTAAAACAAACTATCTGTAAGTTTTATACTTTTAATCTCCCAGATTATAATTAAGTAGACTCAAGAACATTTCAAAACAGCCAATTATTACTGATTCTGACACCTTACCACTATAAGTTGTTTCCTGTTTTATTAATTGTTCACTTGTTCTGTTCTATTAATTGCTAATTCATCAGAGTAAAACTCCCTACCTCATGTGTCCCTTACAAGCAAGGAACACTATACCCCAATTACAATGTACTACTTAGTTGAGACATGCACTGTGAGAACTTAGCTTACAACTACTCAGGGGCTATTTCACAGGGTTAGAATGTCATATGCACTGAAATAATCCCTGCACTGGCTCCCAGTCTCACATTAGACTTACTGTACAGTAGCTTTGTGAGAAAAGTCAGAGAAAGTTTATTAACAAACACAAATTTTAAGCTAATCCCTCACAGAGCTGCATAAAAAAAATAAAGTCAGCATTCTTTTACTTACCTATACAAATTCATATTCACTCTAGCGGGGAACTACCTTCAGCTGCTGCAGAAATATATTTTATTGCAGAGCTTCGCTATTTTATGAGTATCTCATGCTATGAGTACCTTTGAAGTCTGTAGGCTGGGTTTTTTTAACTTTAATAATAAAAAATGGTACTCAAACATACTTAATAAAGTGTTCCAGGTACACTTTTACCACTTTAAAATCAGTGGGGTAACAGTATCTCAGCACAGACTAAAGTGTAATTTTTTAGCCACACATAATATATACTTGTATGCCCTAATTTGTTTTAATTTTATAATTGGCGGCTCTGATGGACTAAAAACTAGTGGTCAACTTAAACACAGGTGAACTGAATCAGCTGTATTAAGTGTGGATGGTCCACCTGAGGACTGTTGTTGCCGGCATAAAAAGGAGACCTGGAAAGGAAGAGTAGCATCGTGGGATCTTCTAAATGGCAGTGGTGTTTGGAACTGTTAGTTCTCCTGTAGGAGCTCATTCTGCTGGCTCCCCTGTTATGAACTCAGCTGTTATCAGAGGAGCTCACGACCTTGTTGCTGAGAACAGCTACAGTTTGCTTTGGGGGGAGCTCTGGTCCTTACTCTGAGCATCACTTCCTAGCTCTGGAGGGCAAGATGTGTGCTGTTTTCAATCTCCAGGAGAAGCTTGTCACAGTGGCTTCCTGATACATACTCAGCTGTTCTCATTGTTGGAGGAAGTTGGGACCTTGTCACTAAGGATGGATATGATACTTTTCAGAGGAGCTCTGGTCCTTATTTTGAGCATCACTTACTGGCTCAAGTACAGAACCTTCAATCTACTAGCACAGATTCTTCACCCCGCTGGCGTAAACTTTGTAGCCATTGACCTTTGGGCCTTCCCAGCATAGATCCATAAAACAAACTTGCATGAGTCATTGCTGTGGGCTCTAGTTTTTCAGCTGAACTGATACAGGATATTGCCATGGGATCCAGGCCCTCAGCTGGATTCTCCAGATCTTTAGTGTGTAGACAGATTTTTTTTGTTTGGTTGGTTGGTTGTTTTTTTGTTGTTGTTGTTGTTGTTTTGTTTTGTTTTGTTTTTGGGTACTGGGCATTGAACTCATGACTTTGCGCTGACCAGGCAAGCGCTTAAACCACTGAGCTAAATTCCCAGCCCATAGGCAGATTTCTTGCACTCCTTGCACTCCTCCCAAACACTGGGTGACTGTCATAAACTACTATAAATTATGTGCTCTGTATGTGACTGTTTTCCTTGCAACCACTGACTATAACAGCTAGTATGAAACACTGACTTTAATAAGTAACAGCTTACAGTGAAAAGGTCTTTTATTGATTTAAAAGCAGGATCTCAGGATCGTCCATGGATCCCCACTTTTCCTGCACAGGAGCAGTAAGGGAACAGTGAGGTAGCAAGTCTTGCTGGCCCTAGGAAAGGCTGAGGTGTCAGTCACACAATGACAGTGACATGAAAAACACAGGAATTAACAGAATTTATAAGAACAGTGTGTGATTTAAAGAACGTCAGATTAATCACATATCCAAATAATGAAATGCACAAGCAACCCGCTAACGATTTAAGGCTGGCAACTCACCTGCCTCAATCCCAGGGTCTTTGTGTCCCACATCTGCTTTATATTCCAAAAAAACGGCTGCTCACATTTCTGACAGGAGTCACTTTCCAGCCACTGGGGAGCCTGGGAGAGCGAAGAGTGAGAGCCAGCATCATCACACCTGAATGTTTCCACCACCGGTGTTCCGGAAATGACCATGGGAGCTACATAACTTCCAGGGGTCACTACTTCTCTTTACTCAAAGTATATTTAAATCTGTTGTCACAATCAATAGTATGTGTGTATTTTGCATAATTATGATTTTAGCACTATTTACAGTGTTACTCTATTTGAAATCTGGAGATGAGAGGGAATAATTCCAAGTTTTACTGCAAACTCTTACGGGTTGTCTTTATGTTTTTTTTAATGCATAAGTTTTTGAAATCTATATCCAGTTGAGTAAAAATCCGTCTGTATCTTACAGAGTCTGGTAAAATACCACCTGGAAAGACTCCCGTGACTAACCAAAGATCTGACAAACACGACCCCCGAGTTGCTGAGGAATCAGCCAGCGGCCCTTCATCCTGTGAGCCAGGAAGCCTCCTGCAGCCTCCCTGCACCAGGCACTCTGGGATTCTCTTCCCCCACACTAACCAGACAGCCATCTACCAGCCTCATTCATCTCCTCATAGCCACAGCCTGCCAGGCATTTTTGTTGAAAACAGGAATCAAAGTGTCAAATTTACCTTATTAGGAACTTAGAAAATACTTTCCTAAACAAAAAAGTACTGATTGTAGAATGTGATTTTAAGACATCCTTTAAAAAACTGTTTAGCTCCAACCATTTGATGTTACGTAGGTATAATAAACATTGCAGGAAACACTATTTTCTATAAAGCAATTTGAGCAAAGATCATGGAGAAATTTTTTTCTGAAAGTTAACTCTCAAGCAAAATGAATCTTCTGAGAGGATCCTAGTGATTTCCAAAGGACACTGACTTGTGGGAAATAATGCACCAGAGATGGCAGGTGGTTTAAAGAAATCCTATGTGAGTTCTGATTTAAAGAACGGGTTCTCCTGGTTCTTCATCTCATTTTCTATTCCATCAAAATCTCAGGCACTCCTGCCTCTTTCTTCTGATACATTTTAAGAAATATTTCTACACATGACAGATACTAGAAAGGTATTAGGGGGCTTCTGGGACAACATGACAGATAGATAACAGCACCTATGGAGGCTCTCTGAGATACCCAGCTTAGAATCCAGGAATGGTGCGGTGTGAAGAGTCCTAAGCAAGGGGAGATATACCCTGCTGACAAAGGCACAAACTAAGCTGAGAGAAACCAACTGGAAATGCAATCCTGGTGCTATAACTGGAACAGATAAAATCTCCACATGGAAGCTGGAACCCGCACCTCTGGAAGCTGTGATTTGAATTTCCTGCTTCCGCTGCTGCATCCACGTTGGCACAACAGGGAGAGAGACGCACGTGAAAGCTCTGAGAGCCAGAATCAGGGAACGGAGTTGAGAGAGGGACTGGCGGGGAGCCCTGCATCGACCTGCAGTGAGTGAGAGGAACAGGCACCCTTCCATAGACTAGGAGGCTACAAAAGAAGGACATTCTGGGACCAGGCAGACTAGCCGGAATAGAACACTGCAGTGACTTTACGCATATTCCCCTCTCAAATATGCTAAGTGTGGAGTGCTTGGCCTGGGTGACGCTGCTGACTAAGACCCAGGAGGCTAGCCCAAACCAGGTCCCAGTACCTGGTGGTGCACCCTAGCAGTGAAGCCTTCAGTAGGTTGACTGACCTGGAGGAGCAGGCCCAGCAGAGGCTACCCAGGTCTGTGTCTCCCTGGTACACTGCAGTGGGTGGAAACATCTAGCCGGTGCATTCAAACAAACTGTAACTGACAAAGAAAAAAACTGGGCCTCCTATATACGCTTGTGTGGAAGGAACAAAAAGTATGGGAAGAGGGAGCAACAAAAAAGGGTCCTCGGCCCCCAATCCTGAGAACACTGATCCAGCAAAGGTAAATGGAAAGGAGAATGAGGACAGAAAACATGCAATATCAGACACAGCACCAATAGACATAAAGCAATATCTCCAGAGCCTCATATACAAGTTCAAAAGTGAAATATTCAATGAAATAAAGCAAGATATCAGTACAATAGTTAGAGAAATGCTAAGCACTGCCCAAGAAAAAACAGACGGTAGAATGGAAGAGCAGAAAAAAAGGGGAGAATTGTTTGATGGAGAAAATAGAGAAAAACATAGAATACGTGGAGCAGGTTCAAAGAGATTACCAGGAAACTAAAAACTCTATTGAAAGCTGGCATAACAGCTTGAAAGAAACTAAGGATAGATTATCTGAACTGGAGAGCAGATTTGTAATGTGGGAGCATGAAATGAAAAACTTCTTTAAAATAACAAGGAAACAAACAGCAAATAATACAAAGGCTAGAAGATGATAAGAGGATCTAGAACTTAAGAATTAAGAATGTAAAAGAAGAAGTAGGGACACAAACAAATGAACTAAAAGGCTGTTCACAGAGATAATCCAGGAGAATTTCCCTAATTTAGCAAAAGGTAAAGATACTCAGATGTGTGAGGCATACATGACCCCAGCCACCTACAACCCAAACAGAGCTACACCCAGGCATATAATAATCAAAATTCCAGAAATCCAATATAAGAACAGAATATTAAAAGCCATCAAAGAAACAGATCACTTACAAGGGAACACCCATTAGAATTACAGCAGACTTCTCGGCACAAACCATCAAATCACGAAGAACGTGGGGGGAAATAATTCAAGCTTTAAAATATAATAACCTCCAGCCAAGACTGATATATCCTGCACAACTGTCCCTAGAAATTGATGGAAAAGCACGGTGCTTCCAGGATAAAGTAGGAAAATTTGCAACCACCAATTCAACTCTACAGAGAATACTACAGGATATTCTAAAAAAGAAAAATACCAAGATTCCAGAAACAGTGACTGAGAGGCCACAATGAATGGAGGAGAAAGCAAAATGAAGAAGACAAACTGACAACTAATGACAGAAAAAGAGCTCAACAGAAATGAGGCAGAGAAGGTTGGATGGTAGGAACAGCTATTTTGGAGAAAACAAGATGTCATAATAGCTAGTGCTGATTTAATATCATCTTGTTTTGAAGTCCCATCAAGCTTTTGTTCTTCTGTCTCCATCGGTCTTTACAGGTTGTTATCTTACTGGATTTCATTATATGTGATGATATAAACAAAACCTTTTATAGACAATAAGATTATACAGAAACTATTGTTCATTTTCTGATAGTTGGTTCTAAATACCCTGTAAGAATGTCATTCTCTTGAATGGTTTTACACTGTTTTGATATGTTTGGTGCTACAGTATACGAAGTTATACTCAAAGATTTCAAGGAAAGAGACAGTATGGTAACTACTTTTATGTCAGGATATCTTGCGATGAAACACTGTTTTGCTTAAATGGTTATGTTTTGACCTGCGCTGTTTTGTTGTCATGCCCTCTTTTACTTTTTTTTACTATTTACTTTATTTTTATCTTTTTAATTAAGGGAAAAATGAATGAAAGATAGCAGGATATATTATAGTAATCCACTTTGATTTCCTATTAATTTGATTTGAAACCCTGTATTGCTCTAACCATCTTGTTTTGACTGATTTTCCTCTATTCTGTTTTGCTTGATAGTACCAAGTTCAAAAGTATAGCCAACAACTATGAAGACAATAAGATTCATTATGACACCCATTCTGGTTGACTATTGTCTTCTTTTGAAGTCCTGTGATATCTCCAATGTTTTGGTTTTATTCTTTACTGTTTTGTTCAATTTTATTATAACTGATGATATAGGCAATTCTTTTTAAGATAGCAAGAGGCATTATGGTAACCATTGTTGATTATCTTGTATTTTGTTTTTACATTATGTATTATGTCCATCCTTTTGATTTGACTGACTTTGTTCTGTTATGTCACATTTGGTTTTATTCTCTTCAAAAAAAAGTAATAAGAACTGTGGGAGTAATAAAACCCAAAATGTGTAACTGTCATTGTAAAATATAGAGGAAAAGAAAGTGCTCTAAAGGATATAACTGCATGTATATTTAAGTGTGTAAGATAGATAACCATATTACTGAGTTTTGTTGAATCATTGAACAGAACTGCTTCCAGTCTATTTGAAAGTCCACTTTATATGCTTTAATTTTGTAACTTGAACAACTATTTCTAAGATGACAATATGTAATGTATTAACTAGTGATTTCCTATTGTTTATTTTTTCTGAAATTCTGTATAACTTGTACCCTTTTTCTGTTTTGTTTTGTTTTGTTTTTTCCTTTTTCTCCTTAAATAAAATTTTTAAAAAAGGTATTGCGGGGGGGGGGGGTCATAACTAGACTAAAGCAGGATGAGACAGAAGAAAGGTCTCTTTTGATCTTTAAATATTAGGGAGCTGGTGGCAATGCGAAGAGAGGGAAGAAAGAGTAATGGAGACATATGTACCTACAGAAGGAAGATACTCATTCTGACACAGAATTACTTCAATTTCCATGACCCACACAACAGTGGTCATAGAGGCTGGTGGGGCTTGAGACCCCTGTATGGGGACAATGTCCCTCAGGAAGGGGTCTCCCTATGTGGGCTATGCTGCCAACAGTATGGGGACATATAACTGCAGGGGAGGACTGCAGGTGGCCCCTTCCAGTCCAGTGGCAGGAACTGGTCAAGTTTAAGTCCTGCAAACCAGGGCCACAGGCTGGGAACATCAATACACAGCCCACATTGCAGCCTTCTTAGTGTAACACCAGTGACACCCAGCATTGGAAGGGGCCCCTGTGAGAGCTCTGATGCAAACAAAATTTTCCAAGTCTCTTCCATTCTGCACTTCCCACCTTAATAGCAGGAAATGCAGGGCTCAATTTACTGTGCCAAAACATGAAATCCAAAGAGAGCCCTGAGGGCTTGGGCCCCAGCTCAGTGGGACAGCGTCAGTCTAGCAGATCTGATCCCCAGTGCCACAGGACCAAATGAAACCCAGAAACTCTGATTTGCACCCTTCCACTTATTCTGCACTGCTCCAGATACTCACTGCTCTTTCATCCACAGTTACTATGCCCGAGTTTCTACTTTCCAGGACCACACACTTCCTATGAAATATTGCTTTATAATTAAAAAAAAAATCTTAGTGATCTGGAATTCAGAAATAGGGCCCTCAACTGAAACAGAAGGGGAAGTAAACGCTTCTGAAGGTACGGGGTGGGGGGAGGGATTTAGCTCAGCGGCATAAACGTCTGCCTTGCAAGCAGACAGTCGTTGAGTTCGATCCCCGGTACCGATAAAAAAGGAAAAAAAGACAAAAGAAAAGAAAAAAGAAAATGAAGGTACAGGAGTGGGCAGAATGAAAACAGAGAAATCTCTGAATTAAAAGTCACCAATTTTCTCTCTTTAGTCCCTCATTTATGGCATTACTGGCCCTTTTGCTGTTTACAGTGCTGGGGGTCAAAGCCAGGGCCCTGCAACATGTTGCACAAGTGCCATACCCAAGTTCCACACCCTCAGCTCCTGGTCTGTTCTGATCCACACAACTGCTAGTTCCCCGCAGATCACAATGGGTGCTAAGTAGGACTAAGGCAGGTAGAACTGGAGGGAAGGACACAGTTCCAGTCCAAATGAACAAGAAACAAACTAAAACCTAGACACAAAATTAATTATCATGTAACACACAATGATCTATAGTCAAAAAGATAAAACTGAATAATGAAAATAAGCAACATACATCAAATTTAGCTATGTTTAGTAAAATGGTTATCTTTGTATGGGGTTGGCATACCAGGATCAGATCTCTCATACTCAAATCCTGGCTCTGCCACTTCCCAACTCTGTCCTCAGTACATTATTTAGCTTCTCTGTGCCTCAGTTTCCTCATCACAAACACAATGAGAGTATACCCCTGCTAAGAAGTGTTTTGAACCAGGAGTGGTGGCGTATGCCTACAATCCAGCACATGATCAAGGCCAGCCTGAACTACATAAAGGAGACCTTGTCTTAAAACAAAACAAAACACCCAGAACAAACCAAAAAGAACATATGGTGAGTGCCACAGACAGTCTTTCTTTTTTTCTCTCCAGTGCTACCGATTGAACCCACGGCCTTGTACATGCTAAACAAATGCTCTACCACTGAGCTCCACCTGTCTCTTTAACGGTTTATTTGACTAAGTCTCATCACCACTCTAGGAGTAAAGGCAACATTATTCCCACTCTACAGGCACTTTATGTGGCTCAGAAATGGAAGCACCAGTCCTTGCACAGCAGTTATCAGGCAGAGGGAGAAGGAGACCTGGGGAGCTGGGCTGTGCCCTCCTCTGGCCCACCAAAGCTGTATTCAGCTTTTGACAGGAGGTCCTATCCACTTCATCATGTGGTTCTCCAAACATGACAGCCAATAGAATTGAGTTCTTGCCCCAGGAAGGTTAAGAGTTTAAGAAAGAATAGTATTTTTCTGAGTTACAGAGCAGAGGGGCTCTAGGGAAGAAAAAAAATATGCTTGAAATACTTTGAGATGAAGTAAAGTAAGTAGCAGACATAAACAGGCTTTAGAACATATTTTAATATAAAAGTACCCACAACTTTATTAAACTTTAAACTGTCATAAGCCATTCTGCTCTGTGCTTATTACCTAAGGAGAAACAGGTTTGGGCTAAGAAAAGAAAAAGAGAGTTACTAATCAAGCAATGACTGGCTCCCTTTTCTGAACCACTTTCTGTCTAATGAGTATGACCAGCGTCATCCCCTTCCCACAGGACCGCTAATGCTGCATTTACCTGCACTCGCCGATGGAACAAACCCTACACACTGTGTGAACTGCTGGGTCCCAAAGCAGGGTCTCGTTAAGACTCATTCTCCATCATTACTGTGTCTTGCTCATTTACAGATCGTGCCTGTTTTCACAAGTGACTTAGAAATTCTAAGTGAGGCGTGGAGCTGGAAAATATGGGGTCAATCCTCTCTGCTTTGGTTAAAGAAGTCCTAGAAATTGTGCAGAAGCCTAATTCAGAGTCATAACCTTACAGATTACAGCTTTTTTCCTTTGTGCTACATTTACTCAGCCAGGGAAAAAAAAAATGTGCCAAAAACAATTCATCTTCTACTCTGCCTCTTCCACTGCTGACTAAAAGTCATTCATTCACCCACACAGGAAGCACCTTGACGGATGAGACTATTTTTCTACCCCCAGACACACAAACTCGGCTCTCCATTACATAACCTAGAAGGAAGCATTCTGCTTCTCCTTTCTTGGAACACGTAACTAGTAGCTGATAACTACAAAACACTGCAAATACATAATACAAATAGGTAAATACAAAACACTATAACTATTATAATTCTATAATCTCAAGCCAGTGTTAAACATGGCTAATAACAAGGTTACTTTAAGCCTTAACAGGAGATTTTTAGAGAATCAAAAAAACAAATGTTTTCCTGTTTGTCTTGCAAAGTTACTAAAAAAAGAAACCTAGCCTTCATGATGTCCCTGCATTATGCCCCGCATTTTGTTCTTTATAGTGTAGTCTACTTCCTTCACTGTCTCACCAGCTTCTTGTGGACAACCATCTTTACATAGAGAACACAGCCAAAAAGTCTGGAAATAAGTAATGTTGCTATTTTTAATCACGCTCACAAGTAATCAGAGGCACTGCAAAGTGAACACACACACAAGGGCCAGACTGGTCCCCATTGCCACAGCATGCAGTGCCCTGAACACTGTGTGAGGTCACACAAGGTAACATGTACCCTAACGTGGCATCAACCTTTTTTTGTGTGGTCCTAAGGCCTGAATCCAGACCCTCACTTACACTAGGCATGCACTTTACTGCTGAGCGACATCACCAGCCCTTTTTATTTTCTGTTTTAAGACAGTTTCACTGAGTGCCACGAGCTGGTCTTGAACTTTCGATTTTCCTGCCCCGACCCAGGCAGCTGGGACTACGGACTCGCACCACCACAGCTAGCTCCACAAACCATTCATTGTGTATTTTCACCTGTTTCTTGACTATACAGCCACCCTCTGGGCACTTGATAAATGTTTCTCACAGTGTGAATCATTAACTCTCACATACCAAATCTCTCTAGAATCAATGTTTTAGCTACCAACATCACAGGTTCTAGAAGCCACAGAGAAGACAGTGCCAGTACTAGCAGAGCTGAGAATGGAAATCCTACCCAGCTACCATCTGATGACGTCTATAAATATCCTGAAGAATATATTGCACAGACCCTGGCACCACAGCTCTGTTTTCAGAAATTTGCCTCAAATACACAAGAATCAGGGGCTGGGGATTTAGCTCAGTGACATAAGTACCTGCATTGCAAGCAGGCGGTCGTGAGTTCAATACCCGCTACCGATTAAAAAAAAATTAAAAACAAAAGCAAGAATCACAGAATGACAAGGTAAAGCATAATTTACTGGAGTATTACCCCAGGAAAAAAAGTCAATTATGCAGCCCATTACAGTGTTATCTAAAGAAACAGGAATTCAATAATTCCACTTCATGGGAGAGGGAATGAACACTCAGAAAAACTGAGGCACTAATGTAAACAAAGACTCACAACTAGTTAGTTGGCCCAACCCAATTAAAAAGCAGGGTGCCTGAGAAAAACACTATGACGACACCAACTAGGTGAAGAATAAAAGCAAAGAAACTGAGCAATTTTCCCAGAATAACAAGAGTCGCGCTATGTCACTGACATCCTGGTGCACCCTCAGGCTTTGGGACGGGAGCACTGTGGGGACGTAGATTCCTCCAGAGCCCTCCACACAGCCCAAGTCCCAGGGCACCAGGGCACCTATCAAGGCTGAGAAGCAATTTAAATGCCATCGGCAGGCCCACGGTGCTTTCATGGGTAGAAGCTCAGGTGGGGAGATGATGTGTATAAAATGACATGCAGGCCTACTCGGACAGCCATGGCAGGTGCAAGAGTGAGAGCAGGGTCTGCTCACCGCGAGGGAAACCAAGGCTTCCCATCCTCAGCATGTCCTGCTCTGGCCTCTCACCTCCTCTCGGCTGACGTCCATGTTCCACACCGCGATGCCACCATCGGACGAGCAGGACACGAGCTGCCTTGGGAGCTGCAGGTAACACAGTGACTGCACCCTGTCACTGCAAACGGCACACAGCAGACAAACAGTCTTAGTGCACAAAGACACAGAGACTGTCTTCATTGAAGTTCCAATCTCTTCCCTCATTCAAGTCAGTAAGTGGCATCTTATCACTGAATATTTGATATGATAACTGGGCTTGTAACACAAACCATGTGGCATCCTCTGGCTTATTATACAGAAATGTATGTAATTTTTTAATATAATCACCATTGCTTTCAAATCACTCATGCAGAATTTTGAGACTGAGAATATGGACTATGGTTTTCTAAACCAACCTCCATGATTTCTCTTTCAAATGCACACGATTTGCTCAAAAACCAAGAAGGAACAGGCTATAACTTTCCTACTAGAACACAGTCCATATGAATAAGCAGACACCATGAAGATGACTCCAGGAGCATGCACACGTCTACACACTCTTGAGGCAGGCATGCATGCACTCACGGGACACAGCCATGTGACCCCTTTCTGCAGGTCGGTCAGACCATTCTCCCAGATGATGCCCTGGCTATGAGCCTGTGTACATAATCTGCCCTTGACTGAATTTCAACTTGACTCTAGTTACAGTAAATGGCCACAGCCTGACCAACAACATGGAAGGGAGGAAAACGGGGTGAAGGATGTGCTCCTCCCCTTTTCAAGATAAGAAGGCAAGACTTTAAGTACTACACCATCAGATATTAGTAAGTGTGTGTCAAACTATGCATTACTTCTTCATGAAATACATTTTAAAATTTAAAAAAAGATTATGCCTCCAATTTAAGAACAGCTTAGTACTACATTACTTGCTTTCTGTGCAAAGTCCTCACCAGCAGCCTCTAATCCACCCATGTCCAAAGCTGTTATTACAGACGGTGATGCCACTGCACAAAAAGGTGGCAAACACTCTTTGGACCAAGGAGGAAGAAAATATATACTTGTTTTTGGTGTGAGAGACAGGAGGCTGCTAAACACCAGATATTTAAGTCCCACAAAAAGGCATTAAAAGTGGACATAGCCTTGGGACTGGAGGTTTAGCTCAGCGGCATAAGCACCTGCCTTGCAAGCAGGCGGCCGTGAGTTCGATCCCCGGTACCGATAAAAATGAAAAAGACCAAAAAAAAAAAAAAAAAAAAAAGTGGACATAGCCTTATGAAACCACATTCTTAAAGGCCAGAGTCTGGGGAAAATCTGAACTGAAATACTAATGCCTCCTCCCGGCTCCCCACACACTCAGATTCCTTCCCCACTTCACCAAAAGCCACGCACTGGTGACCCTGAAGCAAGAGTGTCCGGCCTTTCCGGCCCCCGATGTCCCACATGATGATACTGTTGTCAGAGGCTCCTGAGAAGAGTAACCGCTGAATGGGGTCCCACCAGAGGCAGGTGACACTCCCTGTGGATTGGAGAGACAGGGTGAGTTAAATGCAACTCTGCAACAGGAAATGCACATCGGCAGCTGAAGTGTGAACCAGGACTGGCTGAGCCTTTAAAATCCTTCCGAGTCACAGAAAGGATTCAGAATACCCATTATCCAAAGCTGTAAGAAGAGTTTTCAGTTGTGCATCAACTAACTTTTAATATGCACAATGGCTTATAAAAACATTCTTTCTTGTGCTATACTAAATTATAAAGTAATTATACATGAAATGTTAGCTTAGAAAAACTACTGGAGAACAGGTTCCCACTGATAATATTCTGAGACAAGTCAGTGCAGTTTACCATGTTTGTTTTATATAAAATGAAAATCTAGATTATAGTAGATCTTGGGGACCCTGTAGGCATTTTACTCTAAGATAGCTATAGTTAAGAAAATTAAATGTTGTAGCAGAAAAGCCTGCAGGTTGACCAAACAATTGTGCCCAAAGAATTTAGGTCAGAACCCTTAAATTTCCCACTATATCTTGGTCGGCTTATCAAATTTGATACCCTAGGAAATCTTTTTTTCTACAAATTTCTCTTTTAATAGACCTTTACATTGTTCATTGGTTATTATCTGCCAAATAGGAAAAGCTTTTAATTAACTAAACAAAACTGAACCAATGACACAAGCTAATGATAATGTTATAGGTATGTAAAAGCTAGTAAAATCATATTCCGAAGCTCTCTTATGATAAAAATGAAAAAAGTATTCTGTACAATTAGCTTCACGAGTCAAGTTTGCTTGATCCTGACTGCTTACCCTATGCCTTACACACTGCAGCTGGAGTCTAAGAGGACATGAACACGGTCTTCCCTGTGAAAACTGAAAAGCAGTTGCAGAGCCCACTCTGCCCTTAGTTAACCCAGAAGAGATTTTAAGGATCTGGAGGTCCTGAGCTTACTCAGAAATGGAACATGGTTTCCTCAAGGGACGCTGCCCTCTAGCCAAAATCTGTTCTAACTTGGGATTCTCCTTTCTTTTCTTTTCCCTACAAAGCTCCTGATTTGACAGTTTATTTTACCTGAGTGAGCTAGCTAGAATATATAGCACATGTTTAAGCTTCCACACTTAAAACACTAATGTCCCAAACAAGTCCACCTCTAATCCTCATGCCAGAACTTGATTTCATGACCTGAGGGCAAACTGCCTGCATTATAGCTCAGTGCTCAATGAACACCATTTATTAAGCCCATGTACACAGCCAGTCACCCCATATGGCCAGTAAACTTTTACAGTCAGTCGCTCCACAGAACCCTGTCAAACTCACAGAGCAAGAATAATAAGGATATTTCTATCCAGTAATCCATGTCCCCCTGTCACTAGCCAGGGTGTTGCCTAAATATCAGGCTCAACCAGTCCACACGTTTTTCTAATGGTACTGATCTAAGTGCTTTTGCTTATAAACCTAGTGATTAAATGATAATAACTACTCTTCTAAAGGTCTTACTATTTATAAGGAATTTTAAAGACTTTAAGAAAATAGTAACTTAATAAGGTAACATTAAGTTTTACCCATTCAAACAATTTAGAAGGTGTTTTTGACAACATGAAACTGAACCCTAAATCCTTAGTTTTCTCTCTAAATCCCATCAAATTGAAAACTGACAGATCATAGCCAATCACCAGACTGATCTGACAGACAAGAGTCACTCAGTCATGAAATCATGAAGGTGACAGATAAAGTTCAAAGCTTAAGTTTGCTGAAAAACCCATCGGGTGGCAACACAGCCTACCTTCATGTCCTTTGAGGGTGGTGATGACCGCACATGTATTTTGCTCAAGTTTCAGCAGGGTGATCTGTCCAGAATAATCACCCACAAATGCGTACTGAGTATCAAAATCGTATCTGAGGAGAAGCAGTCAAGGACATACAACGCAACTCTATCGAAGTCCTCCCATAAAAAAGACAGCAGCTTTCATCAGTTAGAATACAGAAATTATGCATTTTAAACAGAATAAGCACAAACCTAAAACTGTAATGAAAGAAACTACTCAAATAAAAATCACACAATGTGTAAAAAGTAAATTAGAACAAGTTAGAATAATGGGGAAGTTAACACTTGTTCATTCAACAAGAATTCAGTGAGTTGCTCTTTGTACACCATTATCCTAAAACTGGCTCTAAAAGAGGTAAGAGCTGGTAGTGAAGACAGAGCTAGTTGTAATCGAGTTATAATAAAGCAGTAAGAGAGTCTGTGAAACTGTGAAATAATAAAAACAAGAAAACATTGGGGAAAATGTCCTTTTATGAAATATTTCTAAAATTAATATCAAACTGACAACAAATATAGGACATGAACTCATTCTTTTAGCTTAAATGAATTAGCTTTAAATGAAGATTTTTTTAAAAATCACTATTCAGTTTAATAATTCAAAAGTCAATTGCCTGTGGTAAAAGTAAACATCCATTCAAGATATATTTACTTATAAAATTCATTTCTCTCTCAGTTTGTACCCAAAAACATTTAAGGAAAACCAGTAGTCCGTGCACCATAGAATAACTACTATTTAAACTGGGTAACTGCTACTATTCCAAAAGAAAATGAAAGTAACACAAGCCAGGCTATGACTATGAGTCTGTGCCATGTTCTGGAAATTAAAATTCATTCAAAGACCCCTTGGACAGGACAGAAACACTAATTCAGAACACAATGTTTGAGTAGTTTTCCTTTATTTGACTTGACAGTGTAGGGTACTATTTTAAATATTTGTTTTAAATATCTCATGCTGTTCATTCATTTAAAGTAAACATTTTTAATGAAAGTTCTGACAGGCAAAGAATTCTACAAGGTCAGGCATTTTGCTCGGAAACTCCCCAGTGCACGCACCCACTGCTGCCAGTCTGGACCCTGTCTGTCATCACTGGAACACACAGCGACCCAAAGCAGCCCAAAGCCAGGGTGGCTCTGTGTGAAACCAATTCCACACTGCAATGGGGATTTTTAAGGTAATTTTTTTAATTTTGGGGATCCTAAAGCGCCTTTGAGACACTACACGGATACATGAGCATGCGTGTACACCCAACATGAAACAAAAATTTGTATAAAATGCTCTTAGCCCATTTACGAACCCCAAGGTCCATAAATTATATATCTTTGTTATATATTTTTTTGGAGGACCTGCAAATAATCAGGTACCAAGAGACCAATTCCTTTTACCCCTCTTTACACAATAAAGTTTTTCAGTTTGCAATGCAAACGAATCGAGGAAAGGGATGCATTAGCAAGGCTTTGGGGTTTTCCATACACTTATATTTAAAAATAGCCACTTCCTGGCTGAGAACAGCAAGTTCACTTATTTTATTAAACCCATTTTATACCAAAGAAAAGCAGATTCAGGAATTCTCAGATTTTAGATGAAATATGTAGGAATCATTCGTTCGGTCTTTGGATCTCAGCTGAGCGAGTCAGAGCCAAAACTAAGCATAGAGAAAAGGAGGGCTGTCGGAGGCAGCGGCAGGTAAAGGATACTGCAGGCACGAAGCCCAGGAGGCGCAGGAGTGCCGGCCCAGTGGGCTCCCGCTCTGCGTGCACATCCAGCTCACGCATTTGTCGTGGCCGGTGCTGATCACCCACTCGGTGGCCGGGCTGAAGATGATGGCAGAGACCCGGTTCTGATGAGCTGCAGGGAGAGAGGGGAGCGTCCATGTTTGTTGGGAAGAAAGGTGACCTTCAGAAATAACACCCCATGGGAGCACACCAGAAGCCACAGCTTGCTAAGGAGCAATGTTCAAGAGCTATTCAAGTAACATCAAAGAATGGGTTTCTGTTGTTTGGGTTTTGTCTTGGTTTGTTTGATGGCTATGCTCAAAGAAACACTTTTAGTTCGCTCTAAAAAACCTTAACTGTCAATGACTTCCGTATAGAAGGCAGTGGTCTTTTCTGAACCAAGCAATTTTTTTTCCTATAATACTGGAAATCGAACTCAGGACCTCATACTTGCCAGGCAGGTGCTGTGCCACTGAGCTACACCCCAGCCTCAGTTTTTTAAAACTGCTTATTCTTTCAGTGGGTGCCCTTTGGAAAACCTGGGCATTGCAAAGAGCACCTGCAATTTTCTGTAATGAAAAAAGTGACAAAACATTTTGTTTCTGTAATAACTTTTTCTTTGTAACTATTATTTACAAAGACATTATTGTCAAAGTTCTCTATTCCAAAATAGTAGCTGTGAAAGAGGAAGCTCTTCTATCATCTTAACTTCTGAAATATTTTTAGCTCAACTTGGTAGTGAGCTGACTCTACTTCACCTGGCAAAGAACCTTGCATGCAGCAGGTGTTCAATCAATGACTAGTCTGATGAATGAAGTTAGAGGCTCCGCAGGGAAAGCACTGTACGTGCAACTAAGATGTCCCCCCAAAATGGGAAAAGGTCAGAGGCGATACCACGGGGATGTTATTATGCTGAACAGTTAAACCCTTGTGCTGGATATCTTCAACTCAAGCAAACCAACTCCCAGCTCATGGCTAAATGACTAATGTCCTGGGGCACGGGGTTTTGTTTTGCCTTGTCTTAATGGTGTTTCCAGTTCCTACAAACACAGGTTATGTATATGTCCATAAGCAAACAGAGATGCAAACATTAAATTCACTGAATCCATGCCCAACATCTTGAAAGTAATACTGATTAACTTGGTCTGTCTGGCTCCATTTTTCCACTTAAATCCTCAGTTGTCAAACTCAGGACAGTGACAAGATTTATATGAGCTTGTGGTAAAAGGTATTGGAGTGAACAGTCGATTACCTTTTCTCAGGAAAACCTGTCCTATTTCTAAGACTATGTCCTTTCTGCTGCTTTATTTTTTAGATGTTCTTTCTTTCATGAAATTATAGTGAAATATGGTGACGCTTATTTTGTCTCATTTTTTAAAAAATTGATACTTAAGAAAATAACAACTGGTGTATCTTAAAGCCTATAAAAAACTGACAACCAAAATATATATAGAACAAGACATGTGAATGAGAAATGATTTGAAAAAGAATTTAATGGCAAATAAAATAACTTTTGAGGGGGTACTGAGGATTGAACTCACAATCTCATGCTTACCAGGCAAACACTTAACTGTTGAGCTAAATCCCCAGCACTTTTATTTGTAAAATAACTTATTAAGGCATTTAGTTTTTGGCAAAAACACTGCTCAGGCACATGATAATAAGTGTTCAAATTCCTAGGTACATTTTAATAAAAAGTTTACAGTCTTGATTTTTTTTTAAAAAAGATACACTCATAGTAACAACTGAGAATTCAAATTTGCTTCAGTTGTAGTAACACTATGAGTGTACACGATTCAACAATGCAAGACTGTCATTCACTGTCACAATACTGCTTCCAGGAATGAATTATCAATTTCAGGTCCATGGTCATGATTGCATTACTTATCTCTTAAATTAGGACCAGGTTAACAATATCTAGGCAGAAGCAATTTAGTCTTACTAAAGTTCAAAATGTTTTTCCTGGATCCTAAAATTCACCAAGACCAAAGTTCACCAAGATAAACTACTTATCTAACACATCTAGACTAATTTCACCTTTATTCACAGCCTGAAATACAAAATTGCCTCAGGTGAAGTTGCTGAGACTCAGCTAATTGGTCTGTCAGGAAGCCACAACTTAATCAATCCATTTCAGTCTAAATTTAACATGGAAACTTGTTTCAGTTAAGAGTTGAAACACCTCAATGTACAATGTAGAGTTAAAAATTAGAAAAAAGTATACAAACTACAGATGTTTCAAAACAAAAATACTTAGAACTCAATTTAAAACTATAGAGAGTCCCAGGGAATATGGTCAAAGTCATGAACAAACATTTATGAAAAATAACAAATGGTGAACAGTAAGTGAAGCTTAAACAATTTTCAAACTGATAACTTGCTGGCTACCAACTGGGCTAGAAAAAAACTGTGAAGACTTAATGAGCAGGTACTCTCTAGTACCGTTCAGGGATTATAAAAATTTACATTACTGTTTAAGTGCAGTTTGCAAAACAGACACAGCCGTGGCACCAAACCCAGGTTCATGGGTCACAAGTGGTTTGTTTGCAGCACTGAAAGCTGTGAAAGATTTGCCAATCTCAGATTTACCAATCTGCAGGATTTAGAAAGCTTTTAAATATGTGTTCTACTTGTAGCAATTTATCTTAAACAGAAATAATCAGAATTACAGAGCTAGAGTCAGAGTAACAGCCAGTAATCACACAGCCATGCTCAGCTATGTCTAACAACCTGCGGTGTAAACAGCTGTGAGTCGCAGGAATCGACCAGCAGGCCAGCCTCACAGGGGCCTCTTCCATAGTATAGCGCTGCAAGTTCTGCTGATCTGTACTGTAGACTATGGCACTGTAGCTCTGTGTTCTGGTATATACAACAGCACTGCATGCTTCAGCAAATAAAAGCAAGCTGGAGTTTCCTTTGTCCATTTCTTTGTTCTGACTATTGTAAAACACATACTGCGCACAATTCCTCATTTAGTGAACAATTCATTTAACAACCTAGTTGCAGGAACAGAACTGTCATTAAATGAGGAATATCTGCACAGATTCACAGATATGAATACACAAACATACACACAAACATACAGGCTGTGTAGAGTAATGAGTTATTAAAAAATGAAAGTGTTGTTTATACCTAATAATGAGTGTTAAATTAAGTATCATACACACACCAAACACACAAAATTTTAAATGTTAATAAGCAGAAAAGAATGGTAAATAACTCAACTGAGGTATCTAATAATTAATATGAGGGCCAGGGATGAAGCTCAGCAGCACAGTTCTTGCCTGGCAAGCATGAGGTCCTGAGTTTAATTCCAAGTATCAGGAAAAAAAAAAAGTTAATGTGAAAAACTAAGTTTGATGAGAGACATGATGTTCTATTTCTGTGAGTATGTATCTATATGTATCTGTGTGTGAGAAAGTGTACAAGTGTATCACACTTACCTGGGTAAGTCTTAATAAAGTTCATTTTATTAAAATCTTCAGAAACGTGAAATTCCTAAAAGTAAACATACACAATAAGAAACAATTACATTTTTTAAGACAACAGAAACTAAACTTTTGAAATAAAGTGAAGCCCAACTATAGTTGTCATAAGACCTGGCAACTAAGACAAGCTATTTAGGGATGATATGAATTGCTCCTTTCATCAGATCCATTCACGGGCCATTGACAGGGCAGATGAAATCAAAAACACAGTGCCCCAACTGGAGCAGCACTTTTACCCATTCTTCCTCCACAAGGGAACGCTGTGCGCAACTTTTCCTTCTAAAGTAGATTTTTGCTAATCTTGATCTCTTGAACAAAAAGAATCCAATAGTGCATAAGGAGCACAACTGCAAAGCCCCACTAGCAACAAAGCTCATAGCTACAGAAAAACAAGTCACAGGGTAGTTTAGAAGTTTACAGGGGCATGTTTACCCATATTCAATGTAAAAAATACTCCCAAATTTTGGTTCTCTTTTTGATTTTAAAAAGATTAAGATGAAAGAGGACATAAGGTCAGAACAGAACAATTTAAGCAACATAGTGTTTCACCACAAGACAACCCAGTGTCTCTTTCCTTGAAATATTTGAGTATACCTTCATACACTATAGTATCAAACATAACAAGATAATATAAAACCATTCAAGAGAATGAAAGTATTACAGGGTATTCAGAACCAAATAACAGAAAACAATGGTTACTATATTATCTCCTTGTCCATAAAAAATTTTGTTTATATTATCACATATAATAAAATCCAGTAAAATACAACATGATAAAACCGATGGAGGAGACAGAAGAACAAAAGCTTGGTAAGACTTCAAAACAAGATGGTATTAAATCAGCACTAGCTATTATGATGTCTTGTTTTCTTTAAAATAGCTGTTTATACCATCACAGACAATAAAATCAAACACCCAAGAATAAATCCATTCCAACTAGTGAATGAAAACATTACAAGGCTTCAAAGCAATATAATGGAGAATCATGATTACCACATACTTTTATGTATTCTTACAATTTTGGTTCTGTTTATATTGCTTTTCTTTTAGAAAATGCACTGCATAACTTGGAAAAAAGTATATACTTTTTAATGAAAAAAATACAACTGAAAAAAATTAAAACCCAAAGAAAAAACACTAATTAAAATTCTAGTGATATGATACTAAATTGTTAAGGTCTTAAAGTCTCTTTGTAACATGGACATTACAAATTGCTGACTAACCACAAGGAAAAAATGAAAGAAATACAGACATCCTGCTCTCCATCTTCCTTTGCTACCTACAAAACTACATCTGCACTGTGTGTACTAATCATCACTGGATCCACTGCAAACTGAGGCTAACTTGGATTGACACTGCCCCTTTCCACTGTAGAGTCTAAAGAGCTTACGTGCTGTCCTCCAACTGTCAAGTCCGTGCTTTAACCAAAAGCCAAGAGAAAGGTCCCTGAAGAGAGAAACACAGAACCACGATGACCCCTGGGGAAACTACTTAGGGTTTGCACGTGATGGTGTCTTGTCTTACACATTTGCATTATTTCATCACCATATTCCTGCAAAATTCTCAGGACAGAAAGGAAGCTGCAGCGTTCACCACCACCACACGGGGTACCCCAGCGGCCCTTGCCTCCTGCCTCCTGCCTCCTGCTGCTTGAACTGCTGGGGCCAGAGCCTGTCCTCACTTCTTGCTCTTTCCCCCTGACCCTTAAACAAACAAAACCAAGCCAAGCAAAACAAAAAACAGTACAACCCTGTTAACTGTACTACAACTCTTCCTGACCCCTTCTCAGCCAAAAACTCCCCAAAGATCAGCGCGCACTGGCTACCCTCTGACTGCTTCCTCCAGGTCACCCCGTACTCCACTGTATTCAGGGGCTTCGTCACTGTTCCAGAAGGTTCTCCCTGCCACCACCAGCCTGGTTTCCGCCTCTCCTCGCACTTTGTTTGTGGTTCCCTTCCCCAAAACTCCCTCTTCAGGACTGCTCGGCTATGCTGGTTCACCTGCCTGCCACTCTGTCCCTTCTGCCCCAACTCTCCTGTGCGCTTTCAGGCCTGGCTTTCCCTTCACGACACCAATGTTCCTCAGTGAACAGAGCCCCGCTCTCTGCTACTCTCCATCCACCTGCTATCCCTGGTTCACAACACAGCTCAGAGCAAAAGCCCCTGAGGCTCAGCCTCACTCACCCAACTCTCAAAACTGAGCTCATTTCTTCTGCCTCCTGGGAAAGGGTGGAAGCCCCCTGTCACTGCTATTTCACGCCGACATCCAGTCAAGCAACAGGCTCTGATGCCTTGGTTTAAGACTGTCATCTCTGCTCTGCCACCAGACAGCATTTCTCAATCTCAGGGTGGCACCCTGAAACAGCCCTCTAACTGGCACCTCTACTTTCAGCCCTACCCCTCAAAATCATCTTCTACATGCCAGTACCCCAGGGAAACAGAAACCAGAAACACGACAGTTCCTCAACCCCTTGCATAACGCTCTTCGATGGCACCCAGACTGCAGTTTCCCCACACAGAGCATCCTCAGGCTCGTCTAGAGGCCTTGCTAAAACATAATGCCCAGAGCCACTGTGCTCCCTTTTGCATGGTGGCTGGCTCCCAGGTTTTAAGGGTGTACTTCTTTTCCCATGACACCTATGCAGACCATCCCTTTGGCTCCAGGTTTGTCTTGTCATTTGGACGCTGAGCGGGTATCTCAAATACATGGCAGATTCCTCAGTGTGCCCCTTCCCTCCAATGGGGATCCCACTGTCCAGCCAGTTTCTCAAGCCAAACACTTGATGTCACTTGACCTCTTCCTCTTTCTGCCTAAACACCCAAGCTATCACTCAAGTATTCGGGATGTAACTCAACCTTATCCGCTCTGTCACCATCACTGCCTCATGACTCCTACAACAGTCTGACTCACCTCTTGCCACCTTTGAGTCTTTCTGGAAAAGAAGTTACATCAATCCTTTTAAAACAAACTACATGTCATCCATCTGTCAGACTCTGTAAGGGCTTCTCACTGAACTTACAGAAAAATTTCAAACTTGCTTAGCATCAGGTTACTTCAGAAGTTGAACTCAGGACCTTGAGCTTGCCAGGCAGACACTGTGTCGCTGAGCTATATCCCCTAAAATTTCAAACTTGATCCAGACCCTACATGGCCTGGCCTCTGCCCCTGGGGTCCCTCCTTGTCATTCAGTACCAGCTAGGTATAATAATCTTTTCCAAATCCCCAAACACACACACAGATGCATCTCAAGCCTTCAAGAAGCACTCATTTCCAAAAACTTCCCAGGCTTTCCATAGCTGACTCTGTGGTAAGACAATCAAGCAAAGGTTGCTGAGATAGCTAGTTCCATATATATATATGGAACTCTTCCTTACAGCATATATAAAAGTTAACTCACAGTGGAGCAAACATCTAAATGTGAACACTAAATGATACACTTCTTCAAAGAAAACATAGGTATAAATTGTCATGCATTCCTATTAAAACAGGTGTAAGTGTCCTTGCATTAGGCAATGGTTTCTTAGGTCTTATATCTAAAGCATAAGCAGCCCCAAAAAAGGACTTTATCATAGTTAAAATGTTTTGAGAAGACAACCCATAGGATGGAAGAGAATATCTGCAAGTCATGTATCTGATGAAGATCTTGTATGCAGCATGTACAAAAATAGGCAAAAAACCTAAACAGACATTTCTCCAAAAAAGATATATAAACTGCCAAAAATCTCATTGAAAGATGCTTATTAGCATCACCAGTCATTAGGGAAATACAAGTCAAAACCACAACGAGGTATCATTTCATAGCCACCAGGAAGCCCAAAGCAGTAACAAAACAAAGCCAGAAAGTAAAGTGTTGGCAAAGATGTGGAGAAACTGAAACCCTCACGCATTGCTGATGGGAATGTGAAGTGATGCTGTCACTCTGGGAGACCGTTTAGGGGGCTGGGATTTAGCTCAGCAACAAAGCGCCTGCCTAGAAGACAGTTCGGTGTTTCTCCCACGCCTATAGATATCCAAATGAACTGAAAACATGCCTTCATGTTACACATGAAACTTTAAAATAATACAAATTTCTATCAACTGATGAAACAAAGAGTGGCTTATCTCTAAAATAGAATGCTATTCCACCACAAAGAGGAATGAAGTGACTTTACAACGAGTGAACCTTGAAATAACATGCTAACTTTCACGACAGACACAAAAAGTAAGTAACATCACAAACACTGAATAAAATATCTACAAGGGACACATTCATGTACTCAGAAAGTGACCAGTGATTACCAGAGGCTGAGGGGAATGGGACAGGGAGTGACTGCCAATGGCTTTCTGGGGGACAGATAGATATTCTGTTGTTCAAGAGTGGCAGTGGTTACACAGTTTTTAGAATATACTACATAACCACTGAACTGCATACTTTAAAGTGGTGAATATTATAATAATAAGCCAATTATTTAAGTAAAGAGTAAATAGGAGCATATAATTAGATCTATAATACCACAAGTTCAAAATAGATTTAAAATTTGAGTGTCTGGCCAACAAATAGTGCGAGAAGCGATGCCTTACACAGCTGGAGCTGCGTCCCTCGCCTCCCAGTTTCACACAGCCACTCAGTGACACAGACTCCGCCTTTGGCACTGGAAGCTGTGAGAGCTGTGAGCACCGGCTCTGCGTATAACCTGAGCACTGAAACAACCATCCCGACTGCACTCAGACCCACAGAAATCACTTATAATTAAGCATTAATTAAAATAGCACATGTTTAGTTAGGCTTAACATCTTTCCTTTTTTTGAGACAGGATCTCACTTTGTATTTCAGGCTGGCCTTGGCCTTGGAATTCACTGTGTAGACCAGGCTGACCTCAACGATTCTCCTGCCTTTGAGTGACAGAGGTCAAAACAAAGACTAAGAACACATTCTGTGAGCTACCTACCATTATGGCTCCATTATCCTGGCCCACAAATATTCGTCTGCTGTCGTGATGGTAAGCCATCGTGGAGCAAGGAGCTGTCAGAAAACCAGAGACCACATTATTAGAGAGCTCAGCATTTTAAGTTGCTGTTCAAAGTGCATTATTATTACAAACAGCTATATGATAAATATTTTAAAAAGTGGATACATTTGCTTTATTAAAAATTATGTAAACTAAATGTAATTTAATGTTCTCCCTCTAGTTTAAAATCCTAATTCTAGAAATCTTCTCAATTATGTTTATAATTCTGGGTGAAGTGAACCAGCTGATGTCTCCTCTGAAACTCCAACTACTTAGGAAGTTATTCCCTATCAAAATTAAAGAACAGCCAGAAACCAGGCATGGTGGTGCATGTCTGTAATCGAGGCACTGCATGAGGAACCCTGTGAGTTCAAGGCCAGCCTGGGCTTTGCAAACAAGCTCAAGGCTTTGCCAACAAGCTGAACTATACAGCGAGACCTCAGCTCAAAAAAATAAAATGACCAGAATCTGTATGAAGAGGAGCTCCCAGCACCAGGAGAATCACAAGTTTGAAAGAAGCCTAAACTACACAGCCAGCCACTGTCTCAATCAACAAACAAAGAAAATTATCTTCCTAATGAGGTCATCATTTGAATATAGTTTAAAGTTCCCTTGTTGCAATGGGCTGATATTCTTAACCAAAGGAAGAAAGTATATGAACTATACACTGGACTGCATTCACAGAAAAAGACACAGGCAATAGCATGATCAAGCCAGAGAAAGAGGCCATTTCTGTTGCACTCAAGAACTGTATAGCTGAAAGACAGGTAGGGAAATTGTGCACAATACAATCAAGATTGACTTAAGCCCGCACATCATTACCCACCATATGGATGCTTAAGATTAGAAAGAACAACCATGTCTAAGAATTACAATCACAAACACGCATACATCTTTATATAATCAAAATACTCTTCCATTATCAGGCATAAACAAATCAAATGATGCTTTGATGATTTCAAAGATTTGTTACCAGTTTTACACGCTTATCAGTTGGTAGTAATTCTTATTGCATTAGTGCTTTTCGATCTTTAATCCCTGGCCAGGTAATCAACTGTGTAACTACACAAAATCCCTCTTTTGTGTAAAACTTTCAACATATAATGTGATGATAAAGAATTTCTGCAATTAAAAAAATACATAAAAAGCTCCCCTTCTAAGTCCCCTCACTTTTTTTGTATATAGTAATGTCCAGGCTTTTTTCCAAGCAGGTTTCTACTGAAATAAGCAATTTAAATTTCAAACAGAAGGGGAAGGGCTGAATATTCATAGTTTTATAAGCAAGCAAAACACAGATCATTCTTCAAATAACTTCTAAGAAGACAGCACTACGGTGTAACATCATATGCTCAAAATTCTGACCTGATAACCAAGTCCAACCCACCGCATGCTTTGCCAATAGAGGCTTTGGTTTTCTAGGAACACTGCCAGGGCCCTTCACTTATGGACTCCGTACAAGTGCTCTTATGCCACCTTGGCAAAGTGAGCAGTCATCACAGATTGGCTCACAGACTCTAAATATTTACGGTCTGGCTCTCCGCATCAAAAAATTTTGCAATGGTTTGGGAGTTACAGATAGGTCTGGATTACAATTCAAATCACAAGCAATCAACTTTTTCCTCTGGTCTCAATTTTCTCATCCACAAAATGATAAAAATATCATCTATCTTGCACAGTAGTTGCAATGATTTCATACAACTACATTATTAAAGCCTTGAGGGGCACAGAAAAACAGAAACTAAGAGTTACTTTTCTTTAGCTATAGTGGATTCTAAGTGATTTTTGTTAAAGTGGGGTAGTTATGGAAAAGTTGGACAACCTAAAGCAACATACAACACAAAGAGTTGCCTTAGTGATCGGTCGGGTTGCAGGGAGGAGTTTACAATGGTAAATAACCATGAAAACATCTTCAGTTGGGAACACACCACTTTTCTTGTATTTTGATCTTAAATAAAAGTCATTCTAACATTATAATTGATTCGTGACATTTTCTTCTAACTGTGTTCTTACAGTTTCGTCAGTAGACACAGGTCTAGACGGAGGCCATCAAGAAGCCTCTGGAACCTTCTTGAGCTGGGCACAGGTGGACAGTGACACAGGCAGGTGTCAGCTCACACAGTGCTGAGCTGGGAACTACCGCTCAGTGAGGGACAGGATGGAGAGAGCCACACCCTGTGCCCCGGACCTAACAACCTAAGTAGCGCACACTTCCGCTGGGTCTTTGGTGCCCTGGGAGAATAACTAATTAGAAAGTTGTACTAAGTATCTGGGGAAAATACAAGCTAAGGAAATACAGGACACAATCTATCTCATCTCTTCTAATGAGTATGAATGCAAGGCTGAGGACTCCAAGAGATTACGCTAAAACCAAAATGCGAACTAGGAGGAAGGGTGGGAGTTGAGAAATAATGGTGCAAGCCACACAGAGTTTTCCCTGAGGATGCCCGAATATTCCCAGCACTGCTGCTACTTCCACATACCAAACCCATGGCTGGGTTACTGGGAAGTAAGGAGTAATCAGCCCCAAAGAAGCTGGTTTTGGTCTCATTCTACTGAGATATCGGTCACTTCCGATTTCCTGGTGAGAATTCAGAATGAATGTGTAAACCAGGTTTACACATCCATAACACACGAATACATGGATAACAAGGAGGTACAAGGGTTTGGCACAGTAAATGATGACCAGGTTTTGGGTAGTCTTCTAATGTGTTATATATTGTAAAATGTTATCATTCGACAAGTCATCCTTATAGTATTCTAAAGTGTCTATTTCATATTGACTGAATGACTAAAGACAGAGAAGTTAGCCAGCCTGCCCAAACTATTGATAGACCATAGAACAAAAAAAAATGTTGATATACTATAAACCTTTTGTGAAAACTATTACCAGTTCCAAATACTGCATGCACAATGGAATATATGCACAAATAAAAATGCTAAGAAGGGAGGTGCTTGGGAAAATGACTAATTACAAATCACACACTGAGTAATAATTGCTTTCCCTGTTTCTAACAAACTCCACAGCTTTGGAAATTCACTTAGGAAAGCTGTGGACAGTGTCCACAACATCTAGGACAGCTGTCTAAAGTTCTTCATTGGGGACCCTCAAAACAGCATCGGTAGCAACCCCTCAAAAGTACACACCACATCCTCTGTCTTCTCCTAAGGCTTGTCTGAACACAGAAACCCTTGACAAAGGAAAATACCTCATTAAGGACTAAAGCCTAAAGGAAGTCTGCAGTGAGGGATGCCTTCCTGTGGTTATTTGGGATGGCAGGAATCACCCCCATTTGGCCTTGGGTGACATCCAGGCATTCTCTGTAGGGCTTTGTTCTCAAAAAAGCTTTAGAAAAGAAGTGGGACAGAAGCCTTCAGTGTCTCTTAGGTTTGCCTGAAGGGCTGGAATTTACATGTGATCTTATGTCACGACATCTGAGGGCTATTTTAAAATCTCCATGCTTTAGCCTTGAGGTTTATGTTCACAGAAGGTCTGACTGCTGAGAAAATCTTCCACTTAGAAAGTGTTGTACCTTGGCCTTCATCTCTCTGTAATATCCACAAGTTAGTGAAAAAGTTCAGCAAAACACTGGTCATAGTTACAGGTCTATCCAGAGTCGTGTTTATTTTGTTTTTGTTTTTGTTTTTTAGTGCTAGTATTAGCTACGACTACAAAGTTACAACTGGTGTATGTTGGCCAAATTAAGGTATAGGTAAACGGCTGGATGCAAGCCATTTTCCTCTTGCAGTAAGCCGGGCTTGGCTTATTTTGTGTTTTCTGCAGCTTTAAGTCTGCTTCCGTTAAGCTGGCAGAACCAACTTCCTTTGCAAAAGGAGTTTTCCTGTAGCTTATTACAGCCTCACACAGGTATTAGGCAACTAAGATACTCATTCTGAAACCAGCTGCAATTTTCAGACATTTTGAAATTTCCATCATCATAAGCATCAGAATCACTGCCCTGGGGGGAACAGTCTTACAACTTACAGGCCATGGTGTGGTAAATGCTGGGCCAGTACTGGCCGCTGTCTCTCTTCAGCCATACTCGGAGCGTCCTGTGGAGAAATGAGGAAAGAACAGTGCTCAGTAATTTTAGCTTCTTCAGGACTCCAGGAAAACCTAACCTGATAAAAAATTCTAATGCCATTTCCTAACTGATCTGATAATCATCTGGAAGAACTACAAAAATATATGCACACATGTATATATACATTTATGTGGTATGAAACATACAATTTATGTAATATTCACATACATTACATACAGTGTGGCCACATATAAGTTTATACAGTACCTACGAGTCAAGATTCAAATAATTTTAATGATATGGGAATGTTTTGCATATAAGGACATACAAAGAAACCAGGCACTACTGACTGCCGTTCTTGGTAAGGTGAATTGCATGAACTTGGGGTCTTAGGGCAGCAGCAGATCTAAGTGGAAAGAAAATACTCATGGAGAGCTAAGGGTCAGAGAGAAAGAGAGGCCAGCACACAGCCCTCAGTTCTTGGTTCTCAGGCTTCATGCCCAGGAGGAAAGCATCCCACACCATGTCTCTGAGCCCCTTTCTCATCAGAACGCACGCAGGGCGATGAGAAAATCCTGTGCAAGTGCAGGAAAATGACAAAGGACCAAAACAGCCAAAGCTTAACACTTGGGCTCCCTGCAAAACCAGAGAACAACACAGGGCACTGCAGGTCACCCCTGAGTTCACAGAACCCCAGCCCTGCCCAGGTTGCTGAGGTCCCACTGTGCTTGGCTTCGTGCCTTTGTAATGACGACCCACCACCGCCATCAGCACCATCCTGTGCACCCACCTTCCCAGCATCCCCAAGGTCGGCTTTGGCAGGCTTGCTTATATGGCCACAGCAGCACAGACTCTGGCACACAACAAGAGCTGGGTAAATGCTTGGCTGTAGACTAATACATATGCTTCCCCTTTTCTTTCTTTTTTTGTTTTGTTTTGGAGCTCAGGACAAGTAAAACCGGTCATATGGAGGAAAATCTCAGAATAGTAGTAGCCTCTGGGGAGAGGATGACAGGAAGTCAGGCGGAGAGCGGCAAGCTCTGGCTGGCTGCAGGACAGCTCAGACATTTCTTTGTGAGAACTCTGAAGAGCCACACAGACCACTGTAACTAGCACGTGGTCTCCATTCATCCAAATGAACACAACAATGGAATATCACAGGGAGGCTCATTTCATCTGAAATTCAGCTACTTCACTTCAGAACTGAGTAAAATCATTAGAGCTAATGCAGCCTGACCAAACCTCCAGTCCAACTACAAGTGTATAAAATAAAGAACAGACGGAAGAAGAGCGCTGAGAGGAGTGCTGAAGCAACACTGCAGGAAGGCTGTAGAGAAATCACCCAGTTACTTCTACGGATGATCTGAAATGGGGAAAAAATAAAACAGAGATGGAGGACAAGACTGTGACTCATGAAGTTTAAGAGATTTTTTTAAGCAATTAAAATGTGTACACTTATTTGCATCCTGGTTCAATCTTTAAAATATGTGTAACACTATGAGACAATCAGGAATACAAATACTAACAAGTATTTTAATATTGATGTTAAAAATTATTGCTCATTTCTTTAGGCATGATTATCATGTCACACTTTTATTTTTAAGAAGTAAATAATAGTCAGGCGTGGTGGCGCACTCCTATAATCCCAGCATTTGGGAGGATGAGGTAGGAGAATGGTTGCAAATTCCAGCCCAGACTAGGCTACAAAGTGAGCTCAGGGCCAGCCTGAACTGCATAGTGAGACCCTGTCTCAAAAAGACGAAAGAAAGAAAAAAGAAAGTGTGGTGAAACACGCCTATAGTCCCAGCACTCAAGAGGCTGATGTGAGAAAATCCCCACAAGTTTAAGACCAGGCTGGGCTACCAATGAATTCAAGCCCAGTTTGAACTACAAAGGAAGACCTTCTCACAAAACAAAACAAAACAAAAAACAAAACAAAACAGCAGAGTAACTCTTGAATTTCACACTGGCCCTCACTCATCACCCTCAGCATAACCACCACGACCTGTCCTGGTCCTCAAGACACTCTCTGCAGTTGCTTTTCTTTGTCACCCACTGGACTCTTCCTGCTCTGGACACCCCCAGTACATCACATCACACCCACTACTCAGCTCAGTACATACTGTGGTCATCTCAAATTTAGGGCTCAACCGGCAAACTTAGTTCCTATGACTTTTCAACTGAGGCCTCCACCTACTGAGGGGTGTTTCTGTAAGCTCCTCCAAAATAACCACTCAGGTCATGCCCTATGCCTGTCTCCCTCACCACCCTACTAAGAACTCTTCTCTACAGGCAGGGGATTTTTCAGGCAGATGGCAGGATGGATACCAACTGTACAATTTCTTTACCGAAAGAATCACCAGACTCTCATAATAGCGATTCTTAGAACTCAACGACTAATGTATTACCTTGATTATAGTTTGTTACTTAGATTAAAATGCTTATGGATAATTTCAACATAAGAGATGAAGTCAACAGCTGTAAGAAGTGAAAGACTAGCTCCTGGATGACCAAGGATTTACTTCCAATGCACTGTAATAAAGGTCAAAGTCCTTGATGGCCAAGGCTTTATGTAATGCCACTTCAAGCTGATGGGCTTCATTTGTACAAGAACACAGGGTAGGCCGGAGAGCTACTCTCCTGTCAGGGTTTTTAAGAAAGAACAAAATGGTGACTACTCTGAAACTCTTCAACCCTGAAGGTGTTAGGTCATAAATGTGGGGGACTTCAAAGGATTTAGCAGCACATCCTTCTCTCCCTTGCCCTGGGCAAGGACAAGATAATCAGAGAACTCTGCTGTAAGGAGGAAATCTTAAAAGTCACCTCTTCCAATCAATCACGGAACCTCAAAAAAGTCAAACTACAGACACCTTCAGGATGGCATTTCAATTGGCACAAGGTAAAACCAAATCTACCTAGATTCCTGCATTTAAATAGTATTATTTCCTCTGGAGAGCAAACATCAGCATTTAATTTGATCTGCACAATGAAGACCCAGGCTAGGACCAAACTGGCAAACTAAAGAAATTGGCAAGATTTATAGGACCACTCAAAAGAGTACTCTCCGTGAAAGCTGATAATCACATCCAGACTGAGAGCATCCTTATTTGCAAATTAGGTTCTAAATTAGGTGCTCGACTCTGATCCCATCCACATGTTCTACCTAGAACTCTCTTCCACCCATCTTAAACTATACCCTTCTCCAAAATTAAGTCAAACCAATGTTAAGTTTAACCCAGAACATGAGCTTCCCCACAAACCTGTATGTTAAACAGAGTTGCCTAATGCATACAATTTACAAAGGAATTTTTTTGCCATGATCAGAATTTTCTCAACTGTTTAATAAACAGTTGTTAAAAACAGTCTTGTTAATAACAAATTGGAGTAGTTATTTAAGAAATCAAGAAATGTCAGGCTAAAAAATATGCTATTCAGTAAAATGGAAGCAAAATCCACTATTCAATAATTTGAAAGGTAATGTGAGGTGGTTAATGCCTATAATCCCAGCATTCGGGAGTCTTATAATCCACAAACGAGCCCCCAAACTCAAGTTCAAAAAATGGGGCAAAAACATATTTTACAAAGCAGCACTGATTTATTTTATCCTGGGCCCAGCAACACGGTGCAGTTGAAGTTGCAAAAGCTGTGTGTCTCTCCTCCACACCTGCAAACTTTATGTACATATCACAGTTTACAAAGTATGGGGTTATGGGCCTGGATCAGGAAATCTGCTAAGGAAGTGAGGAAAACCTTTGTTTTCCTTAGCAGAGGATAGAGTAATTTAGCAGTAATTAACAATTCTTTGTCAATTTATTTTAGCACCACATCTGTTATTTGTAGAGGGCAACAATGGTTAACATATCAATTAGGTTAGGTTCCCAGGGATTCACAATTCTTTACAGAGGACAGTATTGCTTAACATATCAGTTAGGTCACCCAGAGGGGAAAAAAAAACATACAGAACAGCATTTTGGTATAATACAAATGTAAGGAAGCTCTTTTTGCTAGTGTTCAGCAGGGAGGCTGAAGCAGGAGGATCCTTTGCAATTTGAGACCAGCCTAGGATACAAAGTGAGCTCAAGGTCAGCCTGAACTGCATATAGAGACTGTCTCAAAAAGGCAAAAGAAAGAAAGAAACAACATGATAACATTTCACTCATACAAACCATGAAAGCCTCTACAATGATATAAAAATCATCTAATCAGTAACATGTCAAGATCAGATGGTTTAATTTTTATGACTCACAATATTCTCTACCCAATGTGTAAACTGCTTTCTCTGCTAACATAACACAGCCGACTTCCCCTTTAACATTGTGACCATTTTACCCCCACATACCTACACTCACTCCTGTGTTTCCTGTCACTAACCCTACCCATCTTTCTAGTACCTCAATCCTCTTGGATATTCCAAGACCATGTTAGTCTATAAAGAAATCTCGCCTTAAAACACAACTTTAGAAATGTGTTCATTCTTTTCCAAGCTGTTTTCAAGTTGCTTTAAAACAACAGTCTGCTTGTTTTTCCAAAAGGCACTTGGAAAGGAAGCATGTCATTGTCTTTCTGAATCCACATAATTGGCTCCCAAGTTTCCCCACTCAACCACTGTGGAAGGCACCACCATCTGTCCCCCGGCCTTGCTGGTAAGAGAAACCAGGGCCTCTCAGAGCCCCACACCTTCCACTTCCATGCATGGAAGATGACAATGCACGCACAGTGACTACAGTGTGCCTGTCATGCCTCACTGCATGTCTATTACCCAGCATCAGAGATGCGTTTTTCCAGATAGGTGAAATGCCAAAGTTGAATGAGATTTAAGTAATTCTGAGATACTTACTTAAGAACCCTGGAGACTGACGCAGGGCCCTCACACTGAGATACATCCTCAACCCTTTTTCATTTTCATTTCTGAATTTTGAGACAGGGTCTCGCTGAGTGGCTGAGTTACCCAGGTTGGGCTTGAACTTGTGATCCACCTACTTCAGTCTGCCAGAGTGCTGGGATGATAGGTATGTGCCACTTCCCATC